AATCTATTTTGCGATAAATCGAGTTGCCTTTAACGTGGGCTGAGATTGCTCGATCTCGACTGAGAGATGGCACCCCCTTTTTCTGTTCCCAGCAGGGTGTATTCTGGCCAGCGAACCGTCTCCTAACAGGATTACTATGACGCGATTGTATACGCGTCAAGGAAATAGAGCGGCATTGTGGATCCCGACGACTCAGATTGGATGCCGGCCAGACTGAAAATTAGGAATGCCGGCCCTTTCAGTCCTGTATGTTAAATATTTCTTATGCCACCGTTCCACCTAGGACATCTGCTCCTTGTGAACTGCAAGAGATGTAGATTATGTAACCGTTCTAAAGAATATCTTTTCAAACGGATCTATTGTCCGTGAAGAAACTTCGTATTGCTATAAGAGAATAGCAGAGAAAGGATTTTTACTTGAAATTAAATATACTCGACACCCTCAGATTTATCGAACTCGAAAATCCTTTAAGGACCCTGCGAAAATCACCCTCCTTTCATTCGTAATTACCCAAATCTATAAATGAATAGCAACTGACACCTAAAAGGGCTCGGAATAATTTTCTCATTTTTCTCTTTGACTTAGGTAATTTATTCTTTCAATCCGGACTGTTCCTTTTCCGGTGCGCGACGACAGCCATCGAAAAGAGACAAGCTGCGTTTCAACGCCCACAAACGCTTAAAACGAACACGCCTGATTTAGTCGCGTCCGAAATGCAGTGATAAAGCTGACACGATTTTTCAATCTTACCACTCGTTGATAGGGGATGATAGCCGTGGGACGAAGGAACGCGTCAGCCGTTGTACGAGATCGCAGACATCAACCACCCCATTTGTCGCGATCACCCTACGCTCATTTATTAAGAAGGGTTGAACACGTCTGCCAGTTATAAATACACCGGAAATTGCCAGACGTTCCTCCGCGTTCCCGACACCTTTTTCTACCACCAAGTCGCGTTAACTTGGGGTGGTGGTTTTGTTGTTCATCCTCGAGATTTATGGCGGACCTATGGTGATTTGTGCGGGGTTGAACGAGCATGTGGTTTGAAATTTAATTGAAGATTGGGAGACAGGTGTTTAAATGAACGAGGAAGAATTTGTTATATTTTTGGATTCAAGTTTCTTCCACCTATTAACCCCATCCTTAACAAAATTTGGAAATTTTTCAAATGGAAAATTGATCCAATAGAAAATGACATCTAAACAGCATCTTTGGACTTTGAATTCACCTGGAATTTTCAGGAATTTGCAAACATACCTGGCACGGGTTACAAATATTTTTCACGAGCATATCTGGGAAAACATATTTTCCGCGAGGCATAAACGGCGTAAACAGTTTCGAGAAATTTAACGAGGCGTGTCGCGACGTTGGGACGCCTTATTAGACCGGATTTGAAGTTTCTCTTACGGCGTGTGACTCTGCCACCCACGCATTCAATCCTCGGTGTCCCACACCCCTCGATCCTCTCGCTGGGCTACACAATGTCCCGGTATGAGGTCCAAGATGTTCCATTCACAATAGGGAAAACGCACCACGGAAGAAAGGAATCCCGAACGGGCACGGGACGGCTTGCAAACTGTGATCCCATCGATTCACGGTTCACTTAGTTCGAGCCTTCGTTCGACATTTGTCGTACAACTTACTTCAATGTTGTTACACAACAATTCCGCGTTCACGACACGCGAACCACCCGTGGACACTGGTGGACGTTCGTTTGAACGTTTCGAGGGTGGAAGTCTTTTTCGACACCTTTTAAACGCATTACACAGCTGTTAATAAAATATTGATTTTCACGGTGAACATCTACCGAAAGGAAATGGAATAATTAAAATGATACATAAGCGAAAACGGAGCAGAGGATGTTTGACAATTGTGAAAACAGTAGCCAGCTGCGTCAACGAGATTTCAGCAATCAAATTTCGATGACCATCAATCATTTCCCGTTTTTCCTTAGAGAAGCAAAGTGTGGATCATTAAGAACTCCTCCCCTGATGAATTTAACACGCGTTACAGGTCTGTTTTTACGGAGGGCCTAAAGAAACATCTTGTGGCTACTTCCTGAGACGATTAATCAATCTCCTTCCTCATCGAGGAAATCCTTGTTTGATTTTCACCTTTTTTTTCTGTAACGTCGAAAGCAACACTTGTCTCCGGAAAATCCTTCGACATAAATTGTTAAAAAAATTCAAGTAACAATTTTGCAGTATAAAATATGATTATGGAATACAAAAAATCAGTGCGATACATAAAAATATGATCCTCCCAGTTTATTTTACAACCCATTTCTGTGCCTCCTTTATTACCTATAAACTCGGTAGACGTCTTCACATGGGGATTATTTTTATATCCGCAATTAATTATTAGGGAACAAAATTTGAATTTAACACGACACCCTTACTGAAAGCAAAACGAAGAAAGGTGTAAACGAAAATCGAAAAGAATAACCAGCTCCTAGCATCAAAGCCGAAGTTTCTTTCTCGGCTCCGCCGAGTTTCCGAGCCCTCCCGGAACGATCATTAACGAGGCGCGGATTAATTAGAATTTCAAATTAGCCGGAGCCGTGGCCTCATAAACAATTCGAGGCAGACGGGCCCCGAACGCGCAGGTAAGCGTTAATACCGAAAATCGAAGCTCGCACGCGATCAACAGCTCGGACCCTCTTTATGCGAAGATCGAGCGCGATTCATAGTCGGACGCGAGCTGGTTCTCTACGTCATTTACAAGCGGTACAAGTGGTCCATCATAAATTTCGGCTTCCTATCGACCGTTCAGATCGTATTTATCTAACAAATAATTATTCCCGATTATCTGGCCGGTGATGCATGCGTTGGCAAACAGAGATCAAAGATACGACGACCGACATCGAGCGTGGCCCTTTGTTTAACGCTTAAAAACCAAGCCGAAAGGCATTTGGTCAACAATTTTCGTTTTATTTACGACGTGGTGGTGGCCAGGACCATTCGGCACACCGTGGTTCCGTTAGTGGGTGTTGACGCAAGGGTTGAGCGCCTATTACCATCGTTGCCTTGGGGGTAGACTACCCCGACGCCCGGTGCATTCAAATTTTAGAGTTATTGCCCGGTGACTGCGCGCGGACCTGAAAGAGAAACCAGAGTCAGAACAGGAATCACGATTTTCTGTCTTCGTTACTCATTTTCATAAATGTAATTAGAAGAAGCTACGCTGCATCGTTCCAGAAAATAAAAATCGGAAACATTCCTTATCTCAATCTGCAATTTAAATTCCACCGATCCTCGCATCATCTAAAACGCCAAACATCAGCTGGAACATAAAAACGAGCTCGTTTCATAGAAAAATAAAATTTACCTCTACATGTTTTCCCGCGAAGCGTCAGATTACACATCTTCTCTTGCGGTAATTTAACTCGCAACATTCTTAATTACATAGTTTCCATGAAGTCGGTATCGCGGATGAGACACGCTCCGGTGCGTGTAGGCGCTGGAAGAGTTGCGTGTCGAAGACTGACGCTTGCGTAACGACATGCTAACCTTCGATCGACACCCTCTCGATAACCCTGCCTCACCTAAGGATCTCTAGATCTTCCTCGCAGCTTTCACGAGGCGCAGATCGCGTGCATCGGATATTTACGCGGGTCCTTACGATCAAGCGCGGATGCGATCCGCTCCCGTGCACGTTATGAAATGTAAATTGTGTAACACGCAGGAGGATGCGTCTTTCTCACGGCTCGGCTAGCCCGCATCGTGAGTTATTGCGCGTTTCGATCTTCCCTACGATGTCCGCGATCTTAATTAACCCGTCGATGTCTACGTTCCCCGGCACCGGTTCGTGCATTCCGATCGGAACGATGCTTAGCCGATCATCGCCGAGATGAACAGGCTTTTTCTCGAGGAGGATCGATACGCTTCAGTGATCGAGACTGTGAGAACGGAAGGGTCGATCGGCTTCCTTATGGTGTGTGAATATGGAAAAATGAGGAGGTGAGTCACGCTCCGATCCTCGAAGAGTAAATTTTAAATAAACTTAATTTTATTCAAACTACCAGCATCGTCCAACTCCCAGCTTCCTCCAACAAGAAGAAGGAATTACTTGGCAGGGTTTTACGGGTCGAAAAACAATCCAAGCGCGAATCGTCGAAGTTTCGCGCGGCCGTCGAGGCCGGTGCACCGTATCGTACATCAACGTCTCGCAAAAGGTGGGCGGACGTCGCGTCAGCGGCTGACGCCCCGCGAAATTGAATCTAAGGGTCCGGAGAAGTCTGGCGTTCCTCCCTGAAGCCACGTTCGCTGCAGGGAGGTCGCAAATCATCACCTCGCTACGTTTACAACGTTAGATAGCCCAAGATTACGGTCGTTCGCTTTCAGGACCGAGAATTCCATCCACCCTCTCGAAGGAATCCGCGTTGCTCGTGGCACCTTTCGCGAAATCGATTCGACGTAACCTTTCGCGCGAGAAACAATACCGCGCCGTTCTTTCGCCTGTCTTCGCGGCCGTAATTTATCTGCCAGCGAGGACTAATGAGCTGATGATTACAGGGACCGTGCGGGAAGAACTTTGCGAGGTCGCGTCTACGCTACGTCTGTCCTCGCGAGTAGTCGCGTATTATCGCGCGAAACACCCACGCGACTGGAACTTCGTTCGCTTATTGTTTCTCCCGAGCGTTCGGCTTGATTGAGTGCTTAACTGTGACAGGGGTCTGGCATGCTGACATCATTGAAATGCTACGCCAGAAAAATTGCTATGTTATGCGGTTGAAAATGGTACGACTTCTCTGATGAATTTCAGAGAACAGGGTTTCAAGGAATGTGAATTTAAGTGCTAATTACTGAATTTAATCACTTGGAACTCAATTTTGAATTCTAAAATTATTCTTCTGATATTCTGCAATAAATAGAAATAAAAATGCAAAAAAAAAAAAAATTGGCCCATGGGGGGATCGAACCCGCGACCTTCGCGTTATTAGCACGACGCTCTAAACCAACTGAGCTAATGGGCCGATGTAAGAGACGACAAATTGTAAGTATTTCAGAAAAATTTACACTGCATATTTATTTTTAAATAAATTAGCAAACACTGCAAAACTTTGTCTATGTTGGTATATTAATAAGGAAAATAAGCTTCCGTATGAACCATGATAAACCATCGAAGAAGTAAAGATATCGCAGAACAATTGACTCTCTGCTTCAAAATTGAAAAACTCTTGATAACCAAATTTTTTTCTGAGAGTAAAATTTGCAAAATTGACAAGTATAAAAATCAATCAAAATGCCTGCTGAACAACCAATTGATATGTTAAATAATACTCTGAAAGAGATCGTATTTAGAACAAATAATCTTCAGAAATTCAAACAATTGTCACAGCAGACTTATTTTAATTATAGAGAAGTTGAAGGTTATATCTTTTTTAATAACATAGAATTTTTAATAAGGAATTTTTATATAACTCATTTATGTTTTATAGCTCTGGCAATCATCCATCGCAAATGCGTCGAAACGTTAGGTACCATGAACAGATTGAAGTTTCGAGACCTCTTTCATTCTGGTTTCGATTTCACTGAAAATATTCGTCATTTATTGATCGACAGAGTATTTTCAGTATTCGATAGACACAATGCTTTGACGGTAACCAAAACCATCATTAATTGAAACCTTCATCAGTTATTAATGAGTCATTATTTTAGATACACATTGATCAATGGGTCGAAGGACTGTCCACTGTACTTCGTGGAAATTTGAACGAAAAAATACGTTTTGCTTATCAAGTAATTATATGTAACATTCTCTAAATTTGTGAAATTCATTAAACTCATGTTTTAACAGACGTACGATTACATGAGGACCCAGAAATTGAAGAAAGAGCACATATTTCCAACAATGCGTGGATGTTTAATAAAACTTCAAAACGATGAAAATCCCGACGAAGCAGTTAAGGTAGAATTAAACATAATTATTAATTAACTAACAAACCTATTTACAGACATAAAAATCCTTTTGTTTCAGGATTTGATAGACATGTTGATAAGAAAGATGGACGTAGATCGCGACGGTGCCATTTCCAAAGAGGACTTTAAAACAGCAGTGAAAGAACGAAACGAACTTCTCCTGGAATGCATGGGTCCTGTTTTCCCTACTAAAGAAGCTTGCCACGTATTTTTGTCCACGTTCACCGATGACGTAGGAAGATACTGATAATCCAAACTGTTCGTTTAATTCGAGTAACGCTCCACGAACACCTCGCCAAGAGGTAGACTCTTGTCGAAAAGCCAGAAGCACTCTTGGTAGCAAATAGAAGAGGAAAACGTGCCAAATCAGTCAGAAGAGATCCTGCCTGGGTACGAGAACGCTCCACTAAATTTTCGAGCTTACCGATGAACCTGAGGTGCATTCCTTACGATTCATCGAACGAGAAAGATTGACTTGCTCTTCCTTACAAACAATCGCTAATGGACCGCGATAATACCATCTCCTAATCGCATCAGATGCAATCGGTGATGTAATCGTGGAAGGGGCCGATCGAATTGCTCAATTCAACTCTCTGAGCGCAATTTGTGTTTACTCGAGCAATGCTCTTTATTTTATTCCTGTTTGAGTTTGGAGAAATTTGGTGTACATTTTGTAATTTGTGTTTTATCGAAATCTTGTCAATTACTGTGGCTATTATTTTTGTATTATTTGACAAATAAATTTTATAAAATTTAAAGTTGTTGCTTCATCTACCTAAAAATTACCCCCTTGACAAAATACCATTAATTGTCCATCGTTTTCAACGTTCCCATCTATATTTCGCTCCACTCCAGTATGTCTCAAATACAACCCTCCTGATCTCACCCTATTTCATCCCGATTAATAGAGACGGTTAGCTGGATGCGACCGCTGGCGCAAACACGTCTCTCCTACCGAGTACATAGCAAACAAGGGGTTCGCGCAATAGCCGCGATTCAAGTCGCGTTTCAGCATTGGTGGATGTGTTACAAAAAAACATAATGAATGTTTGAGGATCGTAGGTCTCGAACGAATGGCCCGATCCGCATCTCAAGCAGCTATAACAACAAATTAAACGAGAAAATCTCGAGGCTTTCGTCGGGACGTCCACCCTGGCCAGGAGGCTCTCGCCACAATGCGTGGGCGATACACGTATACGAACGAGTAACACCAACACTCGGCTGATTGGGCCAAGTCCTCGTTCTTTCTTCCACCATTGAGAAGGTGGAACGATATTCTGTAAAGAGTATAATAACGTGCGTATGAAAGGGCAGATCCTTTGTGGGTAGCCGACCGTGTCTTGAAAGGATCCACCAGGATTCTGCCGTGGTATGGAAGAAGACGAGGGAGGATGGAGGATCGTCGAGATCGAGAGTTAGGGCACCAGCTGAGAAAACATGCCCGTGGTGTGTCGACAGCGAAATGTTCGTATTTGTGTCTGCGGTACATGGCCGAAAGGGGGGAGATAGAGGTAGTCCAGGATGTTCGTAAATTCGTTGATCGTAGAAGGAAAAAAGATCGTGTGCAGTTGGCGAAAATATTCTGATATTTATTAAAAAAATAAATTTTTGATCAACCCTTTTGATCCTCCACCTAATTACGCTACTGTTTCAATGGCTGTTATGGGAGGCCATAGGAAGCATAAATCCTAATCAGACTCAGTTACGCGGAATGGCGATGATTCGGATGAAACGTGATGAGACACGGACCGATTCGATTTGCGTGGCCCACGCCTACGCATCAAAGGGGCCGGCATCGTGGTCCGCGGCAAAGGATTACCGAAATACCCTGCGAGCCTTTTTCTTCAGCGATAAATCCAGTCTGGTAATTCGTCGAGGGGTGCGATTCACGTGAAATCCAATGCGTAGATCGCATTCACGCGTACGTGTGCACGCATGGCAGCATAAAGAAGATGAAAAGGCGAGGGTGAAGGCGAAATAAAACATCGTGCACGGGGCTCGCGCAACACGCCTCACCCTTGCCCTTATAAACTTGAGAGAAACGTGCCATTTACAGGGGCAACGGTATTTCGTTTCAACGAGATAACGTCGGATTTATTGATTATAGATCGATCGATTGTGACAGGATTATTGGAAATAAAATAGTAGAAATAGGAGTCATTTCAACCGCGATACTTCCTAAAATTCCTGTCGTTCTTAGCGAGTATTTAATCACTCGCGAAGAAGTTAATAGAACATTAATGCCACTGACCTGGAGGCTCGCGTTGCACCCTCGAAAGCAGTTAATTAGCTCATAAACAAGAGTATCAGGAAATGGAACTTTTCTCGAGCAGAAAAATGACCATCCACCTTTCGGTACGGTTCGATCCATAAATATCAATGGAGTCCGTTCTGGTCTATCTGAGCCGGCTTGCTTGCACAATGTATCGCGCGGAATGTTCAATGAAGCGTGCAGATGCGCGTAAATAGCAACGGTTCGCGGTGAGACCAAGAGAACGGACGACAAACACGTAGCAGCATGAGGTCACCCGTTCGAACACGACACCCTCTTGTCGAAACAGCAGGATCTGGCCTGACACGGCTGCCGGACAAATGGATTCAGGAAGATTCCGCTAACGAATCCGCTGATTTATCGCGTGCTAAGGCTAGCCCCGTTTTCTTGCTACCACGTCACTTTCCACGTACGGCCATCGGAGCAAGAATTATTGCCGCCCGCGTCACGCCTGACGGAAATACGAGCGTGGTTTGTTTCTGCCGACGGAATCGGTGTACGGGGTAAATAAGTAGGTATGCGCGATAGGGATAGGGGAATGTCCTTCTGTCGCTATGGTTTGGAATTACTTTGCTAATTGAAATTTGCAATCTCAATTCTGATTCTATGGTTTTTAAACGATCTCAGAGTTGGACATCTTAAGAACCGCTATTTTACCATGTTTATTGGACCTAAGTCAGACCCTCCCAAACTGAAAGGGAAACAGCTCAACGCGTCATTAAAAAAATGTATAATCTCATTCTTAAGATAAAAAGTTCCCTTCTTCATAGGTAGACGTAAATCCGAAAATCCTCGGTCTCTTCCACTTCGGTCGAACAAACAGCTAATCTATAATCATCGTTTCTAAGATGTCGACCACACGGTTGTCCAAGTGAAAAAAAAAAAAAAAAAAGAGAAAAATGGACGAGTTGCCAGTTTGGTGCGCCATCAAGTTAATTAGCTTGGCAAAAGGGACGAAGGGGACGTCAAGGCGAGATGTTAGGATGTTTGAAAGGTATGTTGGGCAACGCCCGCGACTCGCCACGCGACTAGACAGATTTCCAAGCGAGAAGAAGCGGGAACGTCCGTCTCGAGTGGCCAAAGGTATACGCGTCCTGACGGACGGCCACATTAAATCATCCTCGTGGCTCTCCAGCTGTTTGTTTCTCCACGAGCCGGATTCAATTTTCTACCGGACGTGTTACGACCAAAATTCGCAATATGGCTGCACGAATTCCATCCAGCCCCTTTGGTAACGCTTCTGATCGAAATTACAGGGGATTTATCGCGACGCGTAAAACGTATCCGCTTAATGTCGGGAATAAATTCGAGTTGGTAAAGAAAAAGATTAATCTTGCGCGATCGTGATCGATCGATCGCGTTTCGGGGCTCGATTTGAAAGGCTGTAAGAGCAATTTTAAAATGGAATAACTGAATTTAAGTTGCCGGAACGAAACTCTGCCCTTTCTGTTGCAACCTGGTTTCAAGATGCAATCTCCGAAGGTGGAATAGTGTCGGGTTAATGGAAATCGAGGTGAACAAGCTCTCTCGTGCAGGATTGTTTCCATTTTGATTAATCTAAGAGTTGATGATTCAAGTTTCTATATACGTAGCTGAGCAATAGAGCTATTTACGAGGAAAATCATTTTTCCGGTCCAATTATCATATTTCCAAGAAATACATGAATAATACCCACCCAAATAGCACCTGCAAAGCTTCAAAAGCCCTGCACCAATAAATTACCAGATCCACTGCACATTTTCTTCCATCCATCATGCTCAGAATCCACAACGAACCGTCCAAATGGTCTCAGGAAAAATAAACCTCCATCGAATCCATGGTAATCGAGAAAACACCCTTCCATCGATTCCCACCGGGTCCAATTAATTATCCTGACAGAATAAACACTAGCGAGCATCGGGACGCGTTTCATCAAGATATACCTTGGTTTTCTTCAAAGTATTTATCAAATCCGACCGCTCGCACAAAGGAAGATTAATAACCGGCCGAATCAAAGGCGTGTAAAAAGTGGACGACCGATATCTCCTGGTCTTATTGAACGTTCGCCCTTGAAAACCGATCGCAGATAGCCAGCCAATTAATGGACGAAAGAAGGACGCGAGATTCGCGTTGATAAAGGTCCAGCCGTTTCTACCAGCGTCGAGACAGCCAGCGAACGGTTCACCGAGATAATAGCACCGCGCAGTCCAAGATCGACCCATCGCCATAAACTATCCGAAGGTGTCGAGTTTGTCACGGTCATGCGAGACCAAGTTTTCAAAACAGGATTAGGCATCCTTCGGATCTCAGTGCCGTATCTGCGAAACGTGCATCGTTCATTTTTCAAACGCGTCGGATTTTTTTTCTTCCTTCTACACGATGGTTCGTAGCCGTGGGTAACCGGAGGGATTATCCACATCCGGTCATTTCTGTCTAATTTTTTTTTTTCTAGCTACCCCTCTTACCGAATATCCGAAACTCGGCATTTCAGGGTATCGAGAGCTGTTCATGGATTCATTCACCGTTTCAAGATGGCTTTTAGCATTGTTCACCGAGGGTACTCTCCTGAGAGATCGTAAGAATGATCTGATTCAGAACAGCCGGATGATTCCCTTTTCTATGCCTCCTTTTTTTCCTTTCTTTTTAGAGGGTGACGGTGTTTCTTGTACGATGCGCATTTCTGCGAAACGATTTTATAGGGGTTGCTGTGACTGCGAGGGGGCGGAAGTGTCTTTTATAGTTTGAGATTTAATTGCGGAATTCGGAGGAAACATATGGCGATGGAAATAAAATTGCTGCTATAAAAATTAAAAAATCAACCGCGTCGTCTCTTTTCGACCACCCCCGCGCTTTTCCCCGCGAACCGACGAAGTGAAAATTTAATTTATTCTCCGGTGAAATTCAACGATCTACCTCGGTGCCGATGTCAACTCGTTTTTCCTCATTTCGCCGAGAGTAATCCGATACCAGCAGGATGGCTCATTATCCTGTCAGGATACCCGCCGGGAAAATGACAGGTTTCCACGAAGTAGGTCGCGTAGCAGGCATGAAATTTAAAATACGACGGGATTAGCATAACGACGTGGATAGAGAAGAAACATTTTGACTCGTCCAAAGATACGACTGACTCGTCGGGTTTTTTATTTGTCTACTTTAAATCCTGGCTGGTACAAACCAGCTGGTTTTGATAGACCTGGCTACGTTTCGCTTCGACAGCTTCCTGCATAAAACCAAGAGAGATACGCGTAGTTCGTTGCTAAGAAAACGGTGATTGCATCGTTACACGTTTACGAGGAAAATTTGCATACCGAAGCAAGAAACTCTTAACACGATAAGGTAAGAATTTCAATAAGTTGCAGAATATCTTTCAGAAAACGTCACATTGAAAATATCGAATACCTTTTATGTTTTTAACAAGAGTTGAAATAAATTGCGCGCGCTTGAGATACAGGCAGA